CGCACGCTCTGGCAGAATTGGCACACCTGGAGTCTAATATCTTTGCTACAGGATACAGCCCTGCATGGGGCCAGAAGTGAGCAGAGGCAGCTGCCCACCTCAACGCGCTCGAAAAGGCAGCACAAACATTGGGTTTGTGTTCAATACAGGGCCAAACGCATCACAAAGGGTGACAAGTGCACCGCATATTTTTTTTAAAAAAATTTTGCACCACACCAGAGTGTGGCCTGCACACAGGTGCAAAGATTGGATGATTCCATCGCGGATATGCCAGCTGAAGTGGCAATCAAAACATAGAAGTATTACTCCAAGTTATACAATCTGATCCAATTCAGCCAGCTGAAGTGGCAGAATTTCTTGACCGAGCCCACATCTGCACCATTTCTTGATACCCGTAAATAATGAATTTAATTACTCCAACCAAATTATGAACAGCCATCAGCGGTGCACCTAACTGTAAATGCTCAGGCCCAGATGGCATCCCATATGAATTTTACAAAATACTTCAAAATATATCCCCACTGCTGCTTGCTTCACTTAACCAAAGCCTGTTGGATATGCGCCTCCTACCAGGAGGACATGAGGCCTTTACTGTCACACTTTTCAAGAAAGGGGATAAGCTAGACTTAGCCAACTGGCGCCCCACTTCTTTAACCAACATGGATACATAAATTTTAACAAAAATCATGGCTAACTGTTTAGGGATTATAGCACCTGCCACCATCTCCCCAGAGCAATTCAGCTTCATACTCAGAAGGTCAATTTGGGATAACGTGCACTCTGTGGCTAATGCATGCCAGTCCACAGCCTCTGGGGCATTTGTATTCTTGGACCAACAGAAGGCCTATGATAGAGTAAACTGGGAATACCTCAGGGCCTGCCTTCATCAATTCCGCCTACCCCCTCGCTTCATCAACTGGGTGATGCTGCTCACGGAATCTGCAATAATGGCAGTACATGGCCCTGGCTTCCTAACAGAAGTAGTCCACCCTCAAAGGGGCTTGCGACAAGGGGACCCCCTCAGCCCACTCTTATACAACTTCAGCCTTGACCCACTACTGCGAAATGTGAATGCCCAACTCACTGGGGTCCATGTGCCAGGCCAAGCCCCAGTCAAGATGATGGCGTTCGTAGATGATTGTGTGGTTGGGGTGTCTAATAATCAAGATGCACGCGCGCTTGAAGCTCTCATCCAGGAGTATTCCCAGGTAAGTAACGCAGCACTGAACGCTTCCAAAACTGAAATCATCCTCCTTGGTCAGTCTCATAACTGCTGGGCCCCAGCGACCAGTGCCCAGTCTGGCCCATCTGCTCACACACGTGCTCACCCTCCCTGCTCACCCCACACCGCCCCACTAGTGCTTTCCTTCATGCCACGCCCTACCATAGGGCCTGTCCGCCATCTGGGCGTGTGGGTGGAGGCAGGTGGATATGCATCAGCAGTAATGGAGTGCCGTATTCTGGACAACGTGACAAAGTGAATCGCCTCTCTCAGAGCCCAACCTACTTCCCTTACTGGCAGGGTTGTTTTAGCCAACTCTATGCTCCTCTCCAAAGTCTGGTTTGGAGCCCACGCCATCCCCTTCTCCCCAAGCTTCTTCAAATCCTTGTATGCCCTGCTGCAAGGATGGCTTTGGTCAGGCCGCCCTCCACCAGTACGGCTAGAGGTCATGTTTGGCCCTCATCATCATGGTGGCATGGGTCTACTTGACTTCAGAGCCCATGCTGCCAAGATCCTGGGAACCTGGATTGCAGCTGTCACGACCCCTACACTCCCCTCCCAACACTGGTCCCACGCGGCCCGCTCCAACTTCTCCCGCGCCTTGGGCCTTAACAATCCATCAAACCCCCACTCCCTGATGAAATACCTCGCATCACACACATCGGCCACAGGCCCTCACGGGACTAAAACCCACTACAAATGGATCCTACTCTCCATGCGGAGCTCTGAGTGGAGAATTCGTATTAGTGGACATACAACCCAAAGAGGCCGCCCCTCTCCTCAGTTCACACAAGATGTACAGGGGCTACCCATCCATGATGGCGTGATCCCAATTTGGCCCCATGTCCTATCCAGGGTGGACTACCTGAACATGATGGACATCCCTTACTCCATTGAGACCCAAAAAACTATCTGGAAAAATACGTACATCATCCTCTGTTGCAGCCTCAAGTCCGCTCCCATGTGTGGTGCTGCCTGGAGTGGGTGTATCATACAGCTGGGCGCTCTAATGCTTTACACTCATCCTGTGTCATGTGTGGCCAGTATGGAACGCTGTTCCACCGCCTAGAGAAGTGCCCCACCTCTAAAGTAATATGGCGCGAAGTCCAACGTCTGCTAGGCCAGGATCAAACACATCCCTTCAGTCTGTCAAGAGATATGTTTGCTTCATCAATGGCCTCCCCCCTCCCACCCTCCCTCCGTGCTCTGGTGGTTGCAATCGCCATGTGGACTATCCACACGATTGTCTTGGATGCCATCGCTGGATCCATCCCCACCCTCCCAGAAACTGTCCACAGATTCTGGTCTCATTTGGTGGACCACTTTCAAGCATGGATGTTTGGATACCTCCCAACGCATCGCTGACAGCTGGTCTCCTCCTGGTTCCCAGTCTGGTTCATCAAATCAGACCCCTTCCTCCACACGTGTTCAATTGTGGCTATGGCCCCTTCACACGTTCCCTCCCCTCCCCATAAGTGGCGTTCCCGCTGGCAACAAGAGATAGCATCGCTTCTCTGGGGTGCCTTCCCTGGTACTAAGTTTTGTCTCTTCTGAGTCATATTCAGAAGTGTCCATCCCATGGTTGGCCTTCCCCACAATAAATTTAAAATTTAAATATTTTTATTTAAGTAAGGCAAGCTGACCAGGGGACAGGCATTACCAAAAGAAAGAAATGACATGAAACCTGAACAGGGTCAACTCCATCAAAGAAAGTTTTTCCACCTCCAGATCAGGACTCAAATTTTTCTGATTACGTCATGGGTAAGGTTTTCGTGTTATTAGACCTACTAACCGCCAATAGCTTCCTTTGGCTGGCACCCTGATCGATGTGCAAAGGGCGGGAATCGAACCTGCAACCTTCAGGTTGGTAGCCATATGCCCTTACTGACTCACCTTTCACCCCTAAAATTTAAATATTCCTTTCCCAAAATCCTGATTTCTATATCATATATTATATTATTTTATTGTTAACCAACTTACCCTCACCAGCGTAAAATGGTTGTTAATAGGTTTCTTATTATTTGTTATGGCTATCTTTTAGGTTTTACTAATTTGAAGGCTGGTTCTTTCAAAGGCTACATGATTGATAACTGTTAATAGCACCAGCATAATCTTCTATAAGATATTCTCTCTCTAGGGCAATCTCTTGATGGAATAGACGTTGTTGAGTCAAATCTCTGTTCACTCTGATCAAGAAAATCTCTGTTATTCTAAAGGAATCTCTTGGTGGAATAGAAATCATCAAAAAGTAAATCTCTGCTTTTTGTTCAGACAACCTTTAAATAAACTAGGCAAAAGAAAATTATGAAAGATGTATTAGATTGAGTATAACTTCTTTTAAAAAATAAATGGTATTTAGATAGTCCCATATAGAATCAAAACTAAAATAAAAAGGAGGGGGATATCCCAGATGAGGAGAGATAGGAGCATGCCACATGCAAGGATTGAAGTAGATTTGGGAATGTAGGAGTTAATGGCACAGTCCAGGTTCAGGGTTGGAGTATATCAGGATTCATCATTGAGAGCTGGACTGAGATAATGGTAACACAGTTAAGGGTTTCTGTTATCTGCTTTAAGGAAGCCAACAGATAAAAGGGTAAAATAGGTGACATAAGGTTGTTACAGGGATAAATAGAGGAGTTACACGTGGAATATGGCCTTGGGCTTTATATCAAAATGATAATATGTTAGTTTGTGTGCTCCTCCCTATCTTATTCGCCAGTGGAGCATTAATTGGGCGACTTATACCAAATTTGTTTAACTATGAATTTGGCATTAATAACCATTTGATGCTAAGTGAATTGAGTTTAATAATTTTGGTCCTTAACTCTGACAAAATATTGATTTCTAAATTAATAATAGATATAGGCTAAAATTGCCTAAATAGATAAAGTATTGGGAGCCCAAGGTCAAGGCTTCACATCTACTAAGGCGAATATGACACCATCTACCAGGGTCTCAGTTGCAATTAGCTTGTAGCTAATATTTTGTAAATGCCCTAAACCTAAACATTTATTTCCCTTCTATTTTGGATGTTTTTCATCTATCCTGACATTCTTGAGTGCTGCTTAGTAGCAATAATTTTCATTAATAAGAACTATGGGAATTAGAAGAGCATGTCTAGGAGGTATTGCCATCTGGTGGGACATTGCTCTTAATTAGCCTCCTAATAGTATACAGCTAATAATAATAACTATAGTGATCAATATAGCCAATGTTAGTAATTGATACTATAGTGTTTTTATTTTGATTATTAATGAAAACATGGTTATGATAGCTAAGGTTTTTGTGCGTGTTTTACAGGGGCTGTCTTCAAATAGTTCCTTGTTTTTGTGTGTTTATTAACTTGTGCACCTGAAACTTAATTCCCCTGCACCAATTTTACCATATGTGAAAACTAGCATTTATATCCTTTTGGGTTTTAGGTTCTCAAGTAGGTAAGAGTTTTGGAAATTCAATCTGTAGCACAAAAATAAAAAATGTGGATATATAAATTAAATTGTCATCATTATATCTCCTAAACCTCTTAAGCTTGGAATTTAAACTTTGACATAGATGTTCTTATTTATTTGAGGCAAGATGACCAGGGGACAGACATTACCAAAATAGAAAAAGAAAGTATTGACATGAAACCTGAGCAGGGTCAACTCTGTCATAGAAAGTTTTTTTCCCTCCAGATCAGGACTCAGATTTTTCTAGTTACATCATGGTTAAGGTTTTTGTGTTATTAGACCTACTAACTGCCAATAGCTTCCATCAGCTGGCACCCCAATTGATGTGCAAAGGGTGGTAATTGAACCCACAACCTTCAGGTTGGTAGCCTTACGCCCTACTGACTCGCCTTCCACCCCTGGCATAGATGTTCTTAGTTCATAAGTACTTAATAAGTAAATTTTATAAATTTTTATAAATAATACCAGTTATAATTTTAAGCTGAAAAATGTTTATTATTAAAATTAAATTTTGAAACATATTAAAGATATCTTTTTAAAAATTAAAATACTTACATACTTGACCAATTGGTATGTATATGCCTCATAGATGTTATGTTCTCAAGTAATAAAGGTTATTTTAAATTTTAAATTTATTGCAGGGAAGACCGCCCATGGGACGGACACTTCCAAATATGACTCAGGAAAGACAAACTTAGTACCAGGGGAGGCACCCCAGAGAAGTGATGCTATCTCTTGTTGCCAGCGGGAACGCCACTTATGGGGAGGGGGAGGGAACGTGTGAAGGGGCCGTAGCCACTATTGAGCACATGTGGAGGAAGGGGTCTGATTTGATGAACCAGACTGGGAACCAGGAGGAGACCAGCTGTCAGCGACGTGGTGGGAGGTATCCAAACATCCATGCTTGAAAGTGGTCCACCAAATGAGACCAGAATCTGTGGACAGTTTCTGGGAGGGTGGGGTGGAGCCTGCAATGGCATCTAAGACAATCGTGTGGATGGTCCACATGGCGATTGCAACCACCAGAGCACGGAGGGAGGGTGGAAGGGAGGAGTCCATTGATAGAGCAAACATATCTCTTGACAGACTGAAGGGATGCGTTTGATCCTGGCCCAGCAGACGTTGAACTTCGCGCCATATCAATTTAGAGGTGGGGCACTTCTCCAGGCGGTGGAACAGCGTTCCATACTGGCCACACACGATGCAGTATGAGTGTAAAGCGTTAGAGCGCTCAGCTGTATGATACACCCACCTCAGGCAGCACCACACATGGGAGCGGACTTGAGGCTGCAACAGAGGATGATGTACGTATTTTTCCAGATAGTTTTTTGGGTCTCAATGGAGTAAGGGATGTCCATCATGTTCAGGTAGTCCACCCTGGATAGGACATGGGGCCAAATTGGGATCACGCCATCATGGATGGGTAGCCCCTGTACATCTTGTGTGAACTGAGGAGAGGGGCGACCTCTTTGGGTTGTATGTCCACTAATACGAATTCTCCACTCAGAGCTCCGCATGGAGAGTAGGATCCATTTGTAGTGGGTTTTAGTCCCGTGAGGGCCTGTGGCCGATGTGTGTGATGCGAGGTATTTCATCAGGGAGTGGGGGTTTGATGGATTGGTAAGGCCCAAGGCGCGGGAGAAGTTGGAGCGGGCCGCGTGGGACCAGTGTTGGGAGGAGTGTAGGGGTCGTGACAGCTGCAATCCAGGTTCCCAGGATCTTGGCAGCATGGGCTTTGAAGTCAAGCAGGCCCATGCCACCATGATGATGAGGGCCAAACATGACCTCTAGCTGCACTGGTGGAGGGCGGCCTGACCAAAGCCATCCTTGCAGCAGGGCATACAAGGATTTGAAGAAGCTTGGGGAGAAGGGGATGGCGTGGGCTCCAAACCAGACTTTGGATAGGAGCATAGAGTTGGCTAAAACAACCCTGTCAGTAAGGGAAGTAGAAGGGCTCTGAGAGAAGCGATTCACTTTGTCACGTTGTCCAGAGTACGGCACTTCATTACTGCTGATGCGTATCCACCTGCCTCCATCCACATGCCCAGATGGTGTACTGGTCCTATGGTAGGACGTGGCACGAAGGGGAGCACCAGTGGAGCGGTATGCGTTGAGTTAGTAGGGCGTGGATGTGGGCGAGCAGATGGGCCAGGTTGGGAACTAATTGCTGGGGTCCAGCAGTTCTGAAACCGACCAAGGAGGATGATTTTGATTTTGGAGGCGTTCAGTGCCGCGTTGCTTACCCAGGAATATTCCTGGATGAGAGCTTCAAGCGCGCATGCATCTTGATTATTAGACACCCCAACCACACAATTATCTGCAAACGCCAATATCTTGACTGGGGCTTGGCCTGGCACATGGACCCCAGTGAGTTGGGCATTCACATTTCGCAGTAGTGAGTCAAGGCTGAAGTTGTATAAGCGTGGGCTAAGGGGGTCCCCTTGTCACAAGCCCCTTTGAGGGCGGACTACTTCCGTTAGGAAGCCAGGGCCACGCACTGCCATTGTTGCAGATTCCGTGAGCAGCATCACCCAGTTGATGAAGCGAGGGGTAGGTAGAATTGATGGAGGCAGGCCCTAAGGTATTCCCAGTTTACTCTATCATAGGCCTTTTGTTGGTCCAAGAATACAAGTGCCCCAGAGGCTGTGGACTGACATACATTAGCCACAGAGTGCACGTTATCCCAAATCGACCTTCTGGGTCTGAAACCGAATTGTTCTGGGGAGATGGTGGCAGATGCTACAGTCCCTAATTGGTTAGCCATAATTTTTGTTAAAATTTTAGTGTCTGTGTTTGTTAAAGAAATGGGGTGCCAGTTGGCTAAGTCTAGCTTATCCCCTTTCTTGAAGAGTGTGACAGTAAAGGCCTCATGTCCTCCTGGTAGGAGGCATGTTTCCAACAGGCTTTGGTTAAGTGAGGCAAGCAGCAATGGGGAAATATATTTGAAATACTTTTTGTAGAACTCATATGGAATGCCATCTGGGCCTGGGCATTTTTGGTTTGGCGCACCGTGAATGGCTGTCCATAATTCGTTTAAGTAATTAAATTCATTATTTCTGGGTATCAGAAAATGGTGCAGATATGGGCTCAGTTGAGAAATTCCGCCACTTTGGCTGGCTGAATTGGTTCAGCTTGGTACAACTCAGAGTAATATTTTTGCATTTTTAGCCACTTTGGCTGGTGTATCCGCAATGGAATTATCCAATCTTTGCACCTGTGTGCAGGCCACGCTCTGGCGTGGTGCAAAAAATTTTTAAAGAAATATGTGGTGCACTTGTCACCTTTTGTGATTCATGTGGCCCTGTATTGAACACAAACCCGATGTTTGTGTTGCCTTTTGAGTGCGTTGAGGTGGGTGGCTGCCTCCACCCACTTCCGCCCCATGCAGGGCTGTATCCTGTAGCTGGGATGTTGGACTCCAAGTGTGCCAACTCTGCCAGAGTGCGTGAGATAACCGCTTATATGGCTTATGAGCATCTGGAGGAGAGATAGCGAGAGTGGCGGATGGTGTCCTCTTTGAAAGTTGCCCATGTGGAAATGGGGTCCGCGCAAAACGGTGCAACAAACTTTTTTGCCAAAGTTGCCTCTTCCACCCACATGGAAAATCCTGGTGACGCGAGCTTGGGGGGCAGATTTTGCACCAATGTGGGGCCTTAGCAACTGTGACAGGTAGGTGGTAGGTTATTGAGACCAGTTGGTGGTCGGAGAATTCCATTTTTGTTGTTTTGAATTGGGAGATGTGGGGTTGGAATTTCGCTGGTGTTAGAATAAGGTCAATGCGGGTCATGGACCTTAATTGGCCGTTGTGGACATGGGGACGCATCATGTTTTTGAGCAGAAGGGAATGTCACAGCAGCGCATCCATTAACCCAAGGGTGGCCTTTAAAACGTGTAGTTCTACATGACCCTGTGGGGCATAGGGTGAGGAAGGCCACCGGTCCGTTGGTGTGGTTAGCCAACAGTTCATGTTGCCAACTAGGAAAGAATCTGGGGGTAGCAGGAGGGATTTAACTGATGAGAAAAATTCCCAACACTCATGTGCACCGTTTGGGGCATAGATGTTGATGATTGCGTGCATTACATCAGCCCACGAGAAAGTGACAATGAGCACTCAGCCATTTAGGAATGTTTCTGAGGATACAAATTTGAAAAATTATTTTTCAAAATTAGCACCCCACAGTGCTTTAACCAAAAGGATAGGGATGGGAGGAGCATTGTTTTTCAAGTTTCCTCAGAACCTTGTGGACAGTGGGACTCCTGGATGGCCAGGATATCCACAGGTAAATTGTGTTATAAAAAACTCAGTTTCCTAGCCCAGGACGGGGAGGCCTTGAGTCTGGTGATATTCAACGTCCCTAAAGTGAAGGTTTCCCCCATCACACCTTAGGTGTGAGGGGTGGGCCCCAGGCCCACCAGCCTCTTCTAGATCCCCACGGGCCTTCACAGCAGCATGGGTGTTAGCAGCAACGCTATCAGAGTTTTTGTTGATTTTTGGAGTAAGAGTCACATTGGCTTTAGCCTTCACTTTTGTTTTCCCAACGTTGGACGAATTTTTTGCGGTGCAGATGAGTTTGGTGCACCATTGAGTGGGTCAAAAAAAAATTTTTTGGTAGGGATAAAACCCAATTCAGTTTTGACCAGAGCTTGGGTGCAACAATTGGGTGCAATCAAATCTCCCATCAGATCTTCAGATTGAGTGGCCCGCTCAGCATGGGCTTCCCAATCTGATTAGTTGATGGATTCCCAAGTTGCTTCCACCGCAAAGGTTTCCATGTCCTCCTGGCATTGTGAGTGTGGGATAGCGGTAAGGCCTTGGCCGCTTCCTTGGCCGTGGTCCTATGGGCCTGCTTGGCCTTCTTCCGCTCTTGTGGGGAGATAGGCTTTACCAGTAGGTAGCAGCCTTGTGCTCCCCATGGGAAAGCCTCCTTGGTGCTTGCGGTTGGTTCATAGTGCACCTCTCCATTGGCCATGGCCACCGAGGGGTGCTCTTGGAATGTGACACCCTCCTTGATGGGGCATGCATGCACCTTATAGCCAAATGCGTCATGGTGGGTGCAAATGGGGGGCGCGCTGTCCACGGTTACCAAGAATGGGTGGGTGGTATGCCCTGCAATATCAATAAAAGTGGAGTGCAGGATCTGGGTTAGGTCCTTTGTGATCTCCTCAGTTGGGGTCAGAACTGTGATGGCTTTGCCGGTGCACAGGTGTGGCATCAGTATGAAGCGTTGCATTTCAAAAGATTGTATTTCACCATATATGGTGAGACAATCTTTCAGGTGTTGTTCCAAAATATCATGTTTTACTGTAGTAGGCAAAAAGTCAAACGTGAGAAAAATTTGGTTTGATTTTGTCCATCTAGTGCATTTGGTTTTGATGACCCATTGCCCTTCAGGGAGGTTGACC